TGATGCTTCCCAGATAATTAAACTGTTGGACTGATTTGAGTGCTGTTTCACCAATGGTGATATGGGGATGATGGAAGACTTCCTGAGGTGCAGGCTGATATAAAACTTCTGTCTTCTTCAAGCTGACTTCCAGACCAAAAAGCTCAGCAGCCTCTGCAAAGCAGGATGTTAAACGCTGCAGAGCTACTTCTGTGTGGGCGACGAGAGCGGCATCATCAGCGTAAAGCAGCTCACGGACAAGATGATTTAAGGTCTTGGTGTGGGCCTTCAGTCGCCTTAGGTTGAAGAGGCTCCCATCGGTACGATATCGAATGTAGACACCGTTTTCAAAATCGAGGTCTGCCGTGGCCCTTTGGAGCATCACGCTGAAGAAGATCGTGAATAAGGTTGGAGCGAGAACGCAGCCTTGCTTCACACCATTAGCTATTGGAAACGGCTCAGAAAGTGTGTTCCCATATCTGACTTGACCGCGCTGGTCCTCATGAAGCGAGATGATCATTTTGAGGAACTTGGGAGGACATCCTAAACGTTCCAAAATCTGCCACAGACCTTTTCTGCTCACATATACGCTCCGTTGATTATACACCCTTGTAAGAGAGCCCTGATGTTGTAAAGCGCCACAGCTACCACCCCGTTCTGTAACTCCCACGCGAAACACAGGGTTCCAGTTCTGCACCGCGCGAAGTCCCCGGATTAAGCAAACACTGCCCTGGGACTCACAGGGGGGAGCAGCGACTTCAACCCAAATAAACCCCCGCGCGAGGAGATTCCCTCCACTCGGGAGTTTCACCACCCAAGCACCCCGCCTCGGCTCAACCAAACCGCTACCCGGGGCTGCCCGCGCCTCGCAGGATTCCTCTCCCCGCACACCGGGGAGGCCTCGAGGGTGGGGGGAGAGGAGCGGGAGGCGAAAACCTCGGCGGATTTTTTTTTGGGTGCGAGTGGAACCCGCCCCGGCCGCGCTGCGCAGGCGCGGGCGGGCGGCGGGCGGGGGCCGTTCCCGGGGCAACGGCCGGGGCCGGGGCCGGGGCCGGGGCCGGGGCGGCGGCGCTGGGCAGCGGGACCCGCCGGGGATGGGGCCGGGGCCGGGGTCCCCCGGACACGATGCTGCTCGGCAGGAAGCTGGAGGGGCCGCTCGGAGCGGGTGAGGCGGCCGGGAGGGGGGTCCCGCGGCTCGGGGGGGGGAGCGATGGGGGTGGCGGCTGCGGATTCGGGGGAGCCCCGCGTGGTTCCGCCCGTTCGCCTTCTCCTCCTTCCCCCCCGCCACCCCAACCCTGCCGCCCCCAGCTGTAATTCGCACATCTCTCTTTCTTTTCATTTTTTTTTTTCTTTTAAAGAGGATAACCTGCCTTAAAAAAGGATAGCCCGCTATCCAGCGGTTTGCCCGTTTTCCGCTCGTTTGGGATTACCCCGCTTAAAAATGGGGAGCGTGGTGGTTTTAATGCCTCTGCAGAGGGAGCGTGGCGTTCGTTTTCGGGGCTTCCCGAGGATGTCTTTGCAGTGCAGAACTTGGTTAACAAAAGAGGAGCTCTTAAACTGGAAAGTGTCATGCACATCGGGGTGGCCCAAGAGCTTCTCGCTCTGTTGTGGTGTGAAAATAGGGTTAAAATCGGAAGATCGTTAAGTAAATGAATGAAAATCGATGATTTTACAGATTAAAAGGTGGTAAGGGAGGTAAATTTGAGTGTTTGTCCGTTATCAGTGTGAGTGGTTGTGGCTAACTGGTTTGTATATGGGACACTTCCAGGCAGGTTTGGAGATGGATTATATGACTCCTATATGAGGATAGATGATTTAAGATATCAAGAGCCTTCAAATGAAGAACGCAGCGCCTCTGGACCCACTTCCCTTCCAAGACCTCAAGTGAGTATTTTAAAATCATCTGTGTCTTCGCATGGTGTTGTGTGGCACTGAGAACTATCCAGGAGCGAGATATCTCCCTACAGAGAAAAAAAAGTGGGATTTTGCAGCTTTGTAGTAGCTTATTAACATTACTGTGTTCACTATGCATAAAAATGATGTGCTGTGTTCACTGTAGAACTTGCTGGCAGCCTCAGGAATCCCATCTTAGTGTCCTCAGCTTGTGTTTTAGTCAAAAAAGTTACTTTACAAAGGGTTGAAGTGTTCTGCCATGTCACCTTGTACTGATAAGTCAATCCCCACACACACTTTGCTTTACCTCCTGCACGTTTCCATTTTAGTTTCCCTCATGAAAATTCCAACGGATAAGTACTTAGGAACAGCAGAAGGAGCAGTGTGGGTTTGCATGGCTGCCAAACATCTCACAAAAGTATCTTTCTCCTCTGAAAACTTGGGCATTATCTGTCACTTCGTCTGCTACCAAAATAGCTCTTGATGGACTGAAGGTGTTAACAGGCTTCTTCACAAGGGCTGTGTTCCCTCAGCAGTTGTGGAGCTGGGAGATCTTTCCTTAGATTGATTCAGCTGAGCACTAGTGGTCATGTTTAGCTGTACTTTTGTACACTGATCTGTCTTTTAGATGGGTTTTTAATGTGTTTTGGCTCTTGTTCAGTTCTGGCAGAAGGGAAGGAGCTTGAGCTTAAAAAAGTCTCACTCTCTAAAAAGTGAAAATACACATTTCCCCGAGTAAGATGCATTTGGAAATCATCACCTTGTGGGATTTTATGGTAACAGGTATTAGTAATTAATTTGGTCTGTGCAAACTCGGGCATGGGTCTGTGTTTTCCCTTTTTGGCAATGTTGAGGGAGAGCAGAAGGAATTTAGAGTTTTGTTGAGCAGGAGAGTTTGAAGAGTAGTTGGTTGGTTTTTTTTTTTTTTTTTAAACATTGCAGTGTTTTAAATTTTAGTGTAACTTCAGTTGTTCATTAGTGAACAAAAGTCAGTAGAACTGAACTCTCTAGTTAAATACAACTCCATGAGTATTTTGTTTGACTGGTGTATCTTATCTTCATCTGTTATTTTGACCCTGAAGCCTGTTAACTTCTTAAAGCAAGATTAAGGATTATATCATGCCCAGTTTTGCATGATGATACATAAATACAATACAGCCTCAGTGGTATCATGCAAGCAGGAACTGATCATGCACAGCATGCAAGCATGATACTCAATTTTAATGGGGAAGTATCTGGATTTAAGTGATATTTAGTTTCCTTGCAAGATTTTTCTCTTAGGATGTGATGTTATGTGAGAGTTGAGTCCTGGTGACTGCAGCTGCCCATTCCTTCATCTGAGCTGTAGGAGAACATAATTCTCTCTGCTTGGAGAGTACCTGGGTTGAATGAAGCCTGTTAAGTTCAGTGTTCAGAAAATACCTGATGCACTTTTGCAAAGCCAGTTGTGTAGGAATTGGACTGTTCCCTTGTCAATGAAAATGAAGTTTTCTATTAGTGAGAGTTTTGAGTTGTTGTCAGCCTCGTTTCTTGCCTGCTGATAGTGCTTTACCAATAAAACAAAAGCTGTGGTTTGTAAAATAAAGCTGTTGAGAGCAAGCTGCTGTTAGCCAGAAGTCATGTGTGCAGCTCGTCTGAGTTCAAGTGAAGATGGATCTATATTTGTGTCTCACCATCATGTGGCAAATGATTTTGGGAGTCCTCTAAGAATGAAAATTGAGACCTTACTACTGTCGAGTCAGGGTTTGAAATCCAAAGCCACGGTTCCTTCATTAAGAAATCGTTCCAGGATAAATGGAATAATGAATTCCTTGGTTATTTAGGGATTCAAAGGTACAGAATGTTTGCTATGAACAGCAGCACGAGCAGAGTTGCTGTTGCTCCCGAGTAGGGAATATTAAAACAAATATGAACCGAGCTCTGTGTTTATATTTTCTGTTTATTTGTAAACTTACTGTTTGGGTCTGCTGGACTGGATAGTCTTTTTAGCCAGCTCTGAAAAAAAAAAAAAAGTCATTCTTATCTCAGAGGGTCAGCCAGGCTCCAAGAAAAAGGCGTTTATTCGAAATTACCAGGGCTGGGCTTTGTTGTTTTTGCCTCAGACTCTGTGCAGAGGTGTGTCTCTCCAGTACACTGCATTTTTGGGTTGATAGGACCCAGAGGAGTGGAACTTAGTAGGATATATCCACTGGCCCCTCATCACCGTCGATAAGGACTGACTTCTGCAGGAAATGCCCAATTTTTGGGTGCTGGTGAGCAAGAATTAACATTTGAAGGCAGCACCAACAAACAGACCCTTTTAAGAGACGTGTGTAGTTGTTTTTGGCGAGAACATTCACTTCCCTTATTTACTGACCAAGCCAAGATGTTGGGCTGGGTTTAACTAAAAAGGAATTTGGTTTTATTGCTGTGGGGCTACAGGTTTATTTATATTTTTTGTTTGATTCCTGTATAGTTATTTTGGTTTTCAGGGGATTCGGTTTGGCATGTGTCTGAAGTCTTTATTTTTAGATTAAAGGACAAAATGGAAAACAGATGTTGCCACTGCAGCCAGGGCTTCCTCAGTGCTGCATGGGATGAGACAACACCTCTGTGCTGTCCATCAGCATGGGGTGTCAGTGAGCAGAAAAGGGAATAACTGCTGTGCTAGTAGGGAACTGACCTCTGGGGAGGTGCAGTATTTACTGAACTGCAAAAATGACAAGCTTGAAAACTTTCACAGCGTTTTTCTCACCTTCTATGGGTTCATTTCAGAGGTAAATATTTTAGCACAAGGCGGTGGTTACAGCCTGTGTCAGCTGAGTGTGAGTAGTCTCGATTATTCAAAGCTTTTAAGTCTGTCCTAAGATAGTTTTGCAGCTCTGTCTTCTCTGTGGTGACCAGACAGGACCCAAGGGAGCGGCTGGAGCTGTGTCAGGGCAGGGTCAGGTTGGATCTCAGGGAAATGTTCTTCCCCCAGAGGGTGGTTGGGCACTGAACAGGCTCCCCAGGGCAGTGGGCACGGCCCCAAGGCTGCCAGAGCTCCAGGAGGGTTTGGACAACGCTCTGAGGGACAGGGTGGGATTTTGAGGTATCCTGTGCAGGGCCAGGAGTTGGACTGGATGATCCTTGTGAGTTCCTTCCAGCTCAGGATTTTTGTGATTCTACCATACAATGGATACAACAGTGGTTTTGCCCTTCAAAGAGAAAACATGTTTGCTTGTTTTTTTTTTTTTTTAAAGGGTGGTTTACCTTGTCTTGCCCTGTCATCCTTCTGCTCCTCGCTCAGCTGGGGCACACCAGCCATATGTCACCTGCTGGGGTGTTTCTTTGTCTTCCTTTGGCATCTTGTCTGGCTGATATTCCTGCCACTTCTCTGCACGTTCGCGCTACGCTGCGTGTTCCAGACAGGTGCAAGTTGCATCTGTCGTTGGTTGTGTTGCTGCACCCACGTTTAAAGCTAAACATAGCTGCTCCCTGGCAGTTTGCTGACTAGAGATAGGTATTGTGTCCTTTTTGAGTGTTTGGCTGTCTAGGGTTTCCCTTTATGGATTTAAAAGCACGTTGCGTCTGTGCAAGTGCTGTTTCAGTGAGTTGCTTTCTCTTTGTTGTACCTTTTTATAACTGTGCTTGTAACTTAAACTAGTTTGATCCAGCATTTTATATTTGTCCCTAATAAATGCCAAAGCCATTGGTGTTAATGATTTTGTTTTATGTTGGTATTGCTTTAATTCTTAGTCCGTTCTTTAAAAGATAAACTAAAGTCCTTTATTTTTTTCTATCTGTAGGTTTCCATCAACAAACTCATGATGAAGGATCACTCTCTGCCTGGAAATCAGGTCAAAGTAGAGCAGTTATTTGAGGACTCTGGCAACAAAAGGAGCAGTTCTCTTCAGTGTGCAGGAGTTTCTGGTTTAGAAAGACCTCTCCCTTCCTTGTCAAAAGATAAAATCCTAGACAACATAAGCTCTTCTAAAACTGGTGGCAGGGCACTGAAATGTCTTTCCCAAGCTCCGGAGCAAGCTGTCAAACAGTACAGGCACCAGCTATCTGCTTATGAGCAGCAAGAGATATTTAATTTTTCTGAGATTTACTTTGTGGGTCCAGCTGCGAAAAAGAGACAAGGAGTCATCGGCGGCCCCAACAACGGCGGCTACGATGACGACCAAGGCAGCTACATCCACGTGCCCCACGACCACCTTGCCTACAGGTATGAAGTGCTCAAAATCATCGGCAAGGGCAGTTTTGGGCAAGTTGCCAAAGTGTACGATCACAAACTCCACCAGCACTTGGCCTTAAAGATGGTCCGCAACGAGAAGAGGTTCCACCGCCAAGCGGCAGAGGAGATCCGGATCCTGGAGCACCTGAAGAAGCAGGATAAAACAGACAGTATGAATGTTATCCACATGCTGGAAAGCTTCACCTTTAGGAACCACATCTGTATGACCTTCGAGCTCTTGAGTGTGAACCTGTATGAGCTGATTAAAAGGAATAAGTTTCAGGGTTTCGGTCTCCAGCTGGTGCGGAAGTTTGCTTACTCCATCCTGCAGTGTTTGGCTGCTCTTTATAGGAACAGAATCATCCACTGTGACTTGAAGCCAGAAAACATCCTCCTCAAACAGTACGGGAGGAGTGGAATCAAGGTTATAGATTTTGGGTCCAGCTGTTTTGAGCACCAAAGAGTCTACACGTACATCCAGTCTCGATTCTATCGGGCGCCAGAGGTGATCCTGGGAAGCCGCTACGGCTTGCCCATAGACATGTGGAGTTTTGGCTGCATCCTGGTGGAGCTTTTGACTGGATACCCTCTTTTTCCCGGAGAGGATGAGGCGGACCAGCTGGCCTGCATGATGGAACTTCTCGGAATGCCACCCCAGAAGCTCTTGGATCAGTCCAAGCGAGCCAAGAACTTCATCAACTCCAAGGGTCACCCTCGTTACTGCACCGTGACGACGCACGCGGACGGCAAAGTGACCCTGAACGGGAGCCGCTCGCGCCGGGGGAAAGTCCGGGAAGCTCCGGGGAACAAGGACTGGGTGACAGCACTGAAGGGCTGCGATGACCCCTTGTTTATAGACTTCCTGAAGGAATGCCTGAGCTGGGATCCTGCGGCGCGCATGACCCCCGGCCAGGCTCTGAGGCACCCTTGGATTTGTAAACGAGTGCCCAAACCGCCCCCTGCGGATAGAACCACCGCCAGAAGGGTCCCTAGCTACACAAGTTCTTTCCAAGGGACGGGTTCCAGGCTGCCTTCCGTGGTTGGAGGAGCCAACAAGCTGAGGGCTAATTTGGGATCTGACTCTGGTAGCAATATTCCGCTCTGTTCCGTGCTCCCCAAACTGGTCAGCTAGTGGGGGATGCTGGAATCCTGGAATAACATCCCTCCGTGTTCTGCCTGTCCGTTCACGATGTGCGAGGAAATTAAACGCAGAGGTGTTGTTTTTTTTAACTGAGTTACTTTTTATTAGAGGCCACATCCCGAATTTTCAAAGATCAGTCAAAATGTTCACATTTAAAGGGCTAACTTTTGTCCAGTTGCTTCACTTACACCGTGGGGGATATTCCATTTCTGGGGAGGTCAGCTCAGCTGGTGGGTACAAGGACAACGTGGCAGATGTTTAAAAAATGTTGTTTTAGAAATCAAACTATTTCTTATCATGGTTTAACAGACTCTCTTGCTTAAGACAGAAAGGGAACTTGATTTGAAATACGTATTTTCAGTTATCTCCAACTGAACTCTTTTTATTCCAGGGAAAGTTTTTACATCTCTTGTCAAAAGCACAAGTGCATTAATGCAATGCATTGGGAACTTGCAAATGGCTTAAGTTTTAAGGGTTTTATTTCTCTGCACTGCTTTTCCCTTATCTATCCTGAGATTTTAAAAAACTGCCATGGGATGTAGATACCAAATAAGGAATTTGTTGTTGGAAAAGAAAACACTTGGATGATAAAATTTCAAAGGAGCGTAGAAATGCCACAAAACACGAGAAATAGCTAAATAAAACTATGAATTTCTGTAACACTTACTATTTCCCATAAAAGTCTGTGGGAATTGTAGGGGAATTCGAGATCAGACCTGGTCCATCACAAGAATTCCAGATCAGGCCTGGTCCCTCCCAAGTGTGAGCCAGTTTGTTCAGGGCTAATGATGCAATTATGTTTCTTTGGAGCTCAGATTTCAATCATCAGTTCTGCCAGGTGTGTGTCTTTCGTTTTTCCAGTGTTGTTCCTCAAACAAAAACGTTGAACTTTTAAGAGCTGGTTTATATATAGATGTTTGAAATTTTGGTCATTTAAAAAAAAAAAAATTATCTTTTTGTGTAGAGTGAATTCCATTGAATTACGTGAAGCTCTTTTAATAAAATGCAAACGTGCCACTCCTGTCAGACAAGTAGAAGTTTTTAAGGCCTGGGATTGTGACTAGAAAATGAGGGGGGTGGGGGAAAACACATGTAATAATTGGAAGTGTGCTCTGAAATCTAAAAAAAAAACAATCTGTGAAAACATAACCAGGAAAGACTGGGAAGGTGCAAGAACTGGTGGATCCAAATGAAAAGATTTTATGGGAAGAGCTGCTTTAGTTTTAATTGCATTCCTTCGGGCCTTTGGGTGCCTACATTTTCTCATTCTTGAAATCCACGAGCTTGTACTTCTTCTTCCTTTATCTTCCAAGAACATGACAGGGTGGTGTGACCTGTCGTGACAACAGCACAGCTTGCTGAGGTGGTTCATTCTCGCAGCCTCATGGCCCGAGTCCATCACCAAAATCATCTGATCCCTTGCCAGGTGTCTGAGCACAATTTTAAATGCAGTTCAGAGCTTTTATGAACGGGAGGGTTTGAATTGAATGAGTTTCTCTGCAGCAGGTTTTGAGTGTTAAAATGAGGAGACTCTCAGGATGCAGTCACAGGGGTTGCCAGGGTGATTTTAAAGGTCAGGTGGGCACACATTGAGGAGGAGACCCTCCCTCTCTGAGGAGATGGGACTGCGTTCTGTCCTCTCTGGGGTTAATTTAGCACTGGGGAAATGCTGGGTGGAGGCCTTTAAAAAAAGGTAAAAAAGACAGAGCCAAAGCTCCAAACTTCCCAGGACTTTAAACTGAGGTTCCCAGGAGTTTAAACTGAGGTTGTCGTGTACGTAGCGTTTCTGAGTTGTTTTGTTTTCCAAGTGTCAATTCAATAAGCTTAATAATAATATTAAAATAACAGTCTAGCTTTTCTCTGTGCAGCTACCAGCATGTATGGCATGTTCATGGGTCACTTCATCATAACACATGGCTGGTATTTTTTATTTTGCTTGGCTGAGTGAAGTTTTATTTGAATGGAGAACCAGGGAACTGCATTTTGTGGAGAAGTGGCAGAAGACAGCGGCGATTTTTAGTAGAACCTCTAATAGATTTGGCACATTTTCAGAAGCCAGAAATATTTATTTTTTTTTTTAACAAAATATACCTGGTAGGTGAGTAGAAATGAACCTTTCAGGAGCAATAGCCTGATAGGAAGGATGCCTAAAAGCAGTTTATATAGAAACCATAAGGGGATGGAGCCTGGCAAAAGGAGCAGGGTGTTGGGTGTGCTGGGAGCTGTGCAAACAGGTCTGTTGGGAACACACAGCAGTGTCCTGGTTCTAAACCATTTTGTCTATAAAATGCCACGTGCAGAATAAATTCTCCTGTGACTTCTGGGAAAAAGTGACTCCGAGGTAACTCCTGAGGTGGCAGCCCTGGTGCTCACACAGTAATCTCGCTTAAGGCTGGTGCTGGAAAGCTGCAGATAAAGTAATTAGCTGGCAAAAACATGGCTTTTTATCTAGAAATGGTGTTCAGCATGCCCTGACTGCACGAGGTGCCTGTTGTGGGTTGTGTTTAAGGCTGAATCTTCTTACTTGGGACTTCTGTATTTGGAAATCAAACACATAGTTAAGTGTCTTGTTGGTTTGGGGCTCTTGTCTATACAGATGGGGGTCTTGTTTCCAATTCCTAATCCCCTCTTTCTTTGTAAAGCACTTACTTTCACTAAATTGAGTGACACAGCATTCCCAAACTGGGAGAGCCCTCCAGGTGAGCTGATAATCCGGGAGGGAGGTGAGGAATTGTCCCGGTGATACTGGACTTGTTGAATTCCCTGTGAATTGGTGGAGGGTGGGGCCACAGGCTGTGCCACTGGACTGTCATTTATCAAGGGTGCTCACGGTCACAGTGTCTGTGTTCACCAGATACGGCCAAACCTCAAACTCACACTTGTTTTTTGGAGAGCTAAACATTGGTGAGGTCTAAAATCACCAGTGCCCATCATTTTCATGAGTTGTGCCACTGCTGAGCATGTTTAAAGTAACCTAAATTAAACTTGTCTAAAGGGATTAAGAGAACAACTATTATTTTTGTGGTAGCTTTGCTTTGCAGGCTTGTTGATCTGCCAGCACTGGAATTTCAGTCATGTTCTTCTTGGAAGTTAGCACAAAACAGGCATTGCATTTCTAAAAGTCACCCCAAATTTGTTTTCAGATGTTCCTTACAATGTTTTACTGCCCCATGAGCCTCTGTGGTGTGAATAACATGCTGTTTATTGTCTGCAGTTTTAGCTGTTGGGCTTAGGAATATTTTTATATAAAAGAGGGACAGGGCATGAGCATCACATCTGACAGATACACAGGGTCCAAGTAGTCCCTGCCTGTCCACGTGGCAGGGAGAGGCCTGTTTTTATTGGAATTCAGTGGGACAGTGAGGAATTCTTCCTGTGGAACACCCACCCAGGCTGGTTTAGTTCTTTGCAGGCTTGGTCTCAGTCACAGCAGCTGCTCAATGTGGGGTTTGTTTGACAGCAGTGACCCGATTCTTGAGATCTTGTGTGTACAACAGGCACTCCTCACTAGTGGTTTTTATCCTTCCCAGCCAGCTTGAATGGGAATCCTGGTTATCCAGGGACCTAAAACTAATTGGAAAGATTTAAATGTGACTTTTGTGAAAGGGTGAGTGTGTTGCTTACAATCTTTTTTACCTGTTGGGATTTAATGCAGCTGGAAACTTCTGAAGCAGCAGTTTAGCAGTAGAGATTCTTTGCAATGATCAGCCTCTATTAAAAAATACCTCTGAAACAAACCCAGGGTCCTTTTTAAAGGGTTGTTCAGTGCAGGTTTGTTTTTTTTTTTTTTCTTGTTTAATACTAATAGCTGTTCTGGCTGTGAAACCTATACATGATGATCTCAGCAATGTCTTGCTAATCCCAGGCACACAAGCAAAAGGCTGATGCTGCACCCAGAGATCTCTGCTGAAATGATTGATACAAATCCCCTGCCTGCCGAAGTTTAATGCCCTTGTGGAGGGGGAGAGCCAAAATAGTATGGAAAGATCTGTGGAACTTGTGTGCAGCGCCCAGCTGGGGTTCACAGCAAACTGGGCTCAGAGACTTCAGTGAAATAAATGTGGGATTTGGCATGTGCTGAGCACTCAGAGCTGTGGGTACCTGGCAGTTTGGGAAATTGGATGTAAAAAAAATGGTTTTATGTTGGTGCTTCGCAGAGTCAAAGGATCGTTTGGGTTGGAGAAGATCTCCAAGGTCACCCCGTGACTGATCCCCAGGGTGCTGAGTGCCACATCCAGTCCTTCCTTGGACACCTCCAGGGGTGGGGACTCCAAACCTCCCTGGGGAGCCCCTTCCAGTGCCTGACAGCCCTTTCCAGGAAGAAATTCCTCCTGATGTCCCACCTGACCCTCCCCTGGCACAGCCTGAGGCCGTTCCCTCTCCTCCTGTCCCTGTTCCCTGGGAGCAGAGCCCGACCCCCCCTGGCTCCCCTGTCCTGTCAGGGAGTTGTGAGAGCCAGGAGGTCACAGACACCACCTGATTAACATTTTTTCATTAATTTAACAAAGGTTTTGGGAAATGCATACACTTCCTACATCCCACTAGAGAGCCCTGATGTTCTGAGATGCCGCTCACTGGTCCCTTCCAGTTCTGTAACCCCCAGTGTGACATTCCGTGGCTCCCCAGAGCAGCCGTGGGGAGGTGAACATTGCCCTGGACTCACAGGGAGCAGTGACTTTAATCCAAATAAATCCTTGCAGAGGGATGTACAAGAGACCCCCACACACAGCACACTGTGCCTTAGCGTTTTACCAGCCAACATCTGCCCCCGGTGCAATCAAATGACCATCCGGGGTTTCTTACACAGTGCAGATGTTCGTACCAAATGTCTGCAGAATTCACAGGTTAGCCTTTTTATTACAAATATCCTGATGAGGTGTAATATGGTGGGGAATGTTGGAAAGCACTGAAGGTGCATGTGAGTGTAACTCGCCCTGAAGGAGCATTTTGGAAGTCAGTCAGTCTCCAAGCTATGTATCTAAATGTAGCGAGCAGAGATTTCCCAAAGTTGTATTTCGGGTCGTTTTTAAAAGAAAATAAATACCTGCTTTTCTTTAGCAAATTCCTAAAAGTCCCTGATTAAAAAGAGGGGGAGAAAAAAAAGGTATTAATTATTTCCAGCTGGTGGAACTTACCTTGTGCTAGAGAGAGGAGAGAAAATTTTCACTCTGTGAGCAGATGCTTTCAGTGTGTCTGTGCTAAACGTGACGAGTGCCCCGGCCTGACAAATGTTCCTCTCGTTAACGGGGCTGTAATTAGAACACACCAGAGTTTTGCCATGACATTCTTCAGTTGTCACTTTCTTATTCAGCCCACTGGAGAGCTTTTTAAAGCCCAGAATCCTGCTTATCCCCAGGCTGAAAGGAGAAATCCAGTAATAGCCACTTAGGGAAGATTTGCTTTTATTAGAAACCTATAAATGGGTAACCTACTGTACACGAGTGGATATTGGGATGGTTTGAAGATGAAATCATGCTGCAGTAAAAGGTCTGGAGCTACGACCTGTGTGATTAAACGATGTGTGTTGCACACAGGGAGTTTGCAGACAGCACAGAGTGATTTTTTTTTTCCCCCCTTGCTTTCATGTGGATGAATGGAAAACATCTGATTTTTAAAAAGTTTGTGACCTGAAAACAGTAAATAAGTATATATATATGTATATATGCATTTAGATGTTTATGATGTGTGTATATATATATATATAAACATATATATGTGTGTGTGTGGCTCTGTGTTCAGTCTGCCCCTGCTGCTGAGCCCACAGGACAGTCAGTGTAAATTTGCATGACTGAGCAGCCTTTTCTCAGGCACAGCACCTCAGTTTAAAAAAAATAAGCTTATCTGCCATGCTGTAATGCTTGTTGATGTAACATGATAAGGTATTGTATCACAAATTCTGCTGTCTGAGCTTCACAGTGCCCTGGGAGGGGAAATCCTGTTGGGTGCCAGCTAAGGAGCTGGGAATCTGATACCAAAGCTGTGTTCACATCTTTCTGCCTGGCTAAATTGTGCTGGGATGCTGATATAAAAAAAAAAAATACAGCACAAAGATGCAGAGTGCAGGGCAGAAGCCTGGAATGTGGTCTGTTGTCACATCTGGTATATTCCAGATATTATTGTGGTGACAGGACAAGGGGGAATGGCTTCAGACTGGAAGAGGGGAATGTTAGATGGGATATTGGGAAGAAATCCTTCC